AAGAAACAGATCAACAGATATGGCAGGTAATAATCAGCATAGATGCTATTTTATTCAATGTAACTAAAAATATTTTAATGATAGAAAAGCAATAGATAAATAAAAGCAATTATGTTTAATTTTGCTTTCTGCGTGCCGGCAATTTTTTGGTTGTTGCTGCGGTCGCCTGTGTTTAGCAAGGGAGCCCTGAGCGCAGAGTGATCGCCACAGAGGCGGCTCTGCCTTCTTGCAGTCAAAGAGCTCTGCAAGCCGCCCTTTCTCTGCTCTTCCCGGCTTCAGCCGAGGCAGAATGCTGATCCGTGACACGCAATGGCTCAAATCCACCTAGATCCCTGCAGTTTTGCAAACCATCTCCTCTCCCCAGGCCTCAGCGTTTCCCAAAAGAAAAAAGGAAAGAAAGAAAAAACATTCCGGGCGTGGGGCTGGAGCAGCTAAAGCAGTCTGGGGCTGTTCCTCTGCCTCCTGGACCCCCGGCTGTTCTGCTCTGCCCCGCGCACCTCTCTCCTTCTTGGAAACTCCATTCTCTCCAACGAGGGGCTAACGTGCCTCCTTTACCCATCCCCTGCGCAGAGAATACACACAGTTGACATCACTGTTATAATCTTTATTTAAAACTGTTTCCAAGGTTACAAATTACCGTGCCTCGTATGCAACAGGTTCCTCCGAAGCGGTATCATTACAGATTAACTGTAATGTGTCGTATTAGAATAAAAACATAAAGGATTAGGCAAAAGGGGCGACGCTCCAGAAATAACGCCGGAGCGCATCTCGACTGCGAGTCAGCCGGCAGAGACGACGGAGACGCAGAGCGTCGGGGCGCCGCACCGCCCCGGAGCTGGACCCTTGCTCCTCGGCTCCCGGCCCAGGCCCTGAGCGCTCCAGATTAACTGTAATGTGTCGTATTAGAATAAAAACATAAAGGATTAGGCAAAAGGGGCGACGCTCCAGAAATAACGCCGGAGCGCATCTCGACTGCGAGTCAGCCGGCAGAGACGACGGAGACGCAGAGCGTCGGGGCGCCGCACCGCCCCGGAGCTGGACCCTTGCTCCTCGGCTCCCGGCCCAGGCCCTGAGCGCTCTCAG